AAAAATACCCATTACTGACCACTGCTATTGTTAAAAGCTGACCTCTTTGCTCCTGTATTGAACCCTGATGTTGCCTGACATCCAGCCAGCAGGATGGGCACGTCGCTGAAGGACCACAAGCAGAATTCCTTTAAATGTCCCTCCTGCTCTTTCTTAGTGAAATGGCTGCTGTCAGTGACCAGAGTACATCTGGGAGGGGTGTGTGTGTGTAGCACTTGATGTGTAAACAGGAGCTGAGTGACACGCTCTCTACCTGAGAGAACACTTGGATTCAAAATTTAGCTATTGTTGGAGCTAAAAGGCTCCTCTAGAAAGGGAGGAATCTGTGCCGAGAGGAGCTAAATCAAACCTCCTGATTTCCAAGGCCTTTGGCTGTCTTTCCAGTGTGCCTCCCCTTTCTGAGGAGGGGACTAGGGCCCAGCAGCATGAAGCAAATGGCGGTATTGCGTGCTTCACGAGTATAGTACTTGCAGGAATTAAATAGAGGATGCAGTAAACAGGCCAGGCTCTTGCCTGAAATGAATGATTCGCTGGCAGATCCACTCAGGATATTGCAGCCTGGAGCGAAGAAGGAAATCCTCTTGTAAGACCCAAGGTCTGAGGTTCTCCAGCCTTTGCTGTATGCACCCAACAGGACCTCGCAGCCCTTGTGGAAACGCAGCTGCCAAGGGAACCAGACAGTTTAGATCTGTTCGTAACCCACCAGTTGTTGCTGAAATACTAAATTCTGCAAAAGGTTAATGGTGTTTGTTCACCACCTTTCCTATTAGTCTCCCCCCCCCCGGCTTCTCCGAGAACTTCAGATGCTAACAAGCATTGTGCTGGAGACAGCAGTTCTCGTCCTACATTATTGGGTGGGAGCTATCCGATTGAATGGGGGAAGAGTGGGCATGCGTGTTGGGACCTGGAAGCTGTCTTGTATTTGATGGATGGACTGGAGTTGATAGTAGTAGGGCTGCAGCTTGGTCCTCTGTCAAGAAGTGCAGCTGTACTGCCAGTGTTCACACTCCTCTCCAGTTACCCAGAGAGACTGGAGCCTTATGGTATTTACATCCCCAACTTGTGTTCAAACCATCCCATCAGCTGCCACGTCAGGGAGAGTCTCCAGTACAACCTGGGTGTGGCTGTCAGCCCCCCCTCCCCCAGGGTCTGGGCCGGCTCCAGGGTTTTGGCTGCCCCAAGCAGGTTTCTCCCCCCCCCACACAAAAAAAAAAGCTGCGATTGCGATCTGTGGCGGCAATTTGGCGGGAGTGAGGGACTGTCCGCCGAATAGCTGGACGTGCCACCTCTCTCCAGAGCGGCCGCCCCGAGCACCTGCTTGCCAGGCTGGTGCCTGGAGCCGGCCCTGCCCAGGGTATCCGTGTGAAACATCAGTAATGCTCTGACACCATTGGTTTGACGTAGTAGATGAGCGAGTGTCTATGCTGGAAAGCTGTGAACACTGCTATCCAGTGGGGATGTGAACTGAACTCTGGGTAGAGAGAACTACGTGTAGCCCCTTTTCCCTTTCTTAAAACAAGGCTTCATATTGCAAAAGTCTGGGGTAATTCTGCAGAGTATGAGGCTATTTATGCTCCTCTCTCCCTGGGACGTGCCCCATATGTACCAGACCGACCTACTCCCACGCTGTATTGTCTGCCATTGGACTATCTCCAAGGTACTGGCTCCACGCAGCTGCCGAACTCATGAGAAGATCATTGTGGAAATGTTTTAACGTGGCATTTCTCAACCTCTTAACAGAACAATTGGCAAATATGCTGTTAAGCATGTGATGGGAGCAGGCAGGAGGCCCTCTGCCAGCAGCCAGGCTAAGCAGGGAGCTCCTGCCCGCCCTTATACCACAGTGTTGAGGACCTGCTGTTGCATCGTCTCTCACTCTTGCAGGGACCACACAAGTAGCATGTCAGGTTACAGCTATGCTGACTAAATGACTTTGCTCCATTTCTTCTGCTTTCAGCCTCTTATGCAGGATCCAGTAGCCTATCACTCAGTAACGTTAAGCCTGCCTGATTTCCAGAGGTTTTGCTTTCAAGGTCAAAAGCAGATCAATTGGGATTTTATATTAAAGTTGACTTCTCAGAGTCCCCTTCTGGCTCTTGCTTTTCCTGCTTTGGTACCTGGTTCTACTTGGGAGTTAGGGCTTCCTCATTCATATGAAGATGTTCTCCCTCTAAATCAAACTTCTGCCCCCTAAGCAATAAATTGTGTTAGGAGTCTACAGGCATTTCAGAGCATTGCATCAGCCCTTTCCCCTCACAGAATGAGTTTTGAACTAGCTACCGTAGGTGAATGTGTGAGGTAGGTGGGTGTGAATTACCGTGTAAATACCTGTGAGCGAGACTTGTCTAAGCTGCATGGGATGCGTCTTTGCTTAGTTCTCCATGGGCAGACGTGCAGCTCTTCTATGGCAATGACAGTTGGGTTTTTAACTGATTTTGCTGAACAAACTGCCCTCTGCACCCCTGTTTGCAACACCCCATGCCATCCTTGACCCATCTTTGACAGCCACTGTCAGCAAACCCCCTCCCCTCCCTTTCTGGAGGTGGCAGCACCACCCGCATGCACTTGTCTCTGGAGTGCATAGGTCCATGCACTGTGCCTTCAAAAGTAAATTTTTAAAAAGGGACTTCAAATGGTTGACTTTTAGGTTAAATAAAAGAAACCAATCTGTGTGCCATGTGAGACCGAACTTTCTGTACGAGGAGCGTGCTCTGTTTTTTACATGTATACTGAAATCTAATACTCTATTAAAATTATTTTGATGTCTCTTGTGCTAGTCTCAATGGCTGAAATCTTAGTAACTTTCATGAGAATGACAAAGCAGCTACCTTGGGCCCCTCAGTCCCCGTTCCCTTTCAAACCTCCTGTTATTTCTTAAACTATGTTTGGTGTCCACCAGGGCAACCTCTAACCCTTGAATCTATGGGAGCCAGAGCTTGTGCTTCACTGCGCGTCTGCCTTCTGGATACTGCCCCTCTAATGGCACGTACCTACTGCTTTTGACTCTAAACACAATGCACTGAACTCAAGCTGGACTGGAGGGCAGCAGCCAGCTTTCTCTCTCTCTCCTCTTCTCCCCTCCTCCCCCCCCTCCCCCAATCTAGCAAAGGTGAATGGGAAATTAAAGCCTGTGTGAGGATAATGCTGTAAACCTCTGCTCTGAGGACAAGTGCTCTGGGCTCTGTAGGCGGCTGTCAGCACCGACATGAGCGCTGGTTAATGAGGTTTCACCAAAACGGTTTACACGCTAAACTCCATGGGACCAGGTGTGGGTCTTGCTACAGTAAAACGTGCAACCAGCACGAAGAAGGTTATTACAGCTCCAAGAGGCTCTTATGAACTGCAGGCCAAGGTGAAGTGCTGAGCTGCTGTTTATTACTGATGGATCAGGCCTGCTCATGCTCTGGGCTATACTGTAAGAGTAGCCGGAGGCACTTGTCAGGTGTGGGGCTCTGTGGGGTTAGGTGTTGTACAAACACCTAGGAAGACTTCAAGCTGTTCACACCAGCCCTATTGCAAAGCTGTGGTGTCTCATAATAGACATAACTTTCCATAGCTGCCACGTCGTAATTGTTTCCATTAACTATCAGTCTGAACGCACTGGTGCCTTTACCAACTGCAGCTGTTGTATGTTACATTGAACATACTCCTGGACTCACCTCTGAAGAGGGGATACCCAACCCTCTGTTTTAAAGATTTTTTTATATGACACCCCTAGTGTCTTCTGTAAGTAAAGCTGAGCTGTATGTGCTCAGAGTTCTCAAGCAATAGTTATGCCAAGGATCTTGGCTGCTGTTACACAATAGATAATATTTGTAAGGTGGACAGAACACACTAGAGTGGTGACAAAAAAAACCAAACCCTCTGTCCTTTTTGTCACCTTTATTGCCTTGAACGAGGTAGCTATGGTGCATGTTGTGAACTGGCAATGGATTGTGGCTGGAGATTTTCTGCTGATGTGCAGCAGGTACAAGAAGCTTTTGTTTTTTTTTTTTTTTTTTTTTTTTAAGCCCTTGGCTCGGTGCCAGAGGCCCTAGGGTACTGTGGGGGAAAGTAGCCTGTATGGGCAGACACTCTTGGGAGTGTGGCCATTCCCCAGGACTAGACCATGCAAATTAACTGAATCATTAAGAACTGCTTATTAAGAATCTAAATGGAGCCTTGCAAAACTGTTATGAACATGTAGGCGCCTGGATATAAAACTGCCCTCCCCAGAGCTGGCGGGAGGCCGCAGCAGCTCATTTGCCCTTCAGGGAAGAGGTAGGGGAAGGGTGAGTAGACTTGTCACACCCAAGCACTGTTACCAACTCTGGTGAGAGGTGGTGGTGCTTGTAAAGCCTCTGCTCCTGGAGGCATGTGCTGTTGGGGGACTTGGCTGGTTTAAATGAAAGTAGCCCCGTGGCTCGGGGAAAAGCGGGGATGTGTGAGCTGAGCGCACCCACAGCAGCCACAAGACACCTTATGCTCATGTTTAAAAACGATTTTTTTTAAGGCCAGTGGGGTGATTTTTGAGCAGGGGGGGTTGGCAGTGGGGCGGGGGGTTGGTGTGGGAGGTGGGTGCTGCCTGTTTGCTCCCACGTGGCTGGGTGCCCTTTGCACTGTGGCACGCGTGGCAGGCCCTGCCCTGCTGCAGGCTGGCGCTGAGCCTGGGGGGGGTCCCATCCTGTGGGTGCTGGGCCTGGGGGTGGGGTCCCCGTCCCATCCTGGGGGTGCTGGAACTGGGGGTGCTGCAGCCCCCCTGGCTTGCAGTGGTTTCTGGTTCAATGGCTCTCAGCACCTTCACTATGGAAATTGTTCCAGCACCCCTGGGTGCTGAGCCGGGGGGGGGGTCCCCGTCGCGCGGGTGCTGAGCCGGGCCAGGCTGAAAAGCACGTGACAGAGCTGGGGGCCGCACCTCCAGGTCCCTCCAGCGCTACAGGCTGCGCCGCCCGGCTTGGCTCCCTGCGGGCTGCGGGCAGGCGGCAGAGCCCCGCTATGCCGGCGGGGGCCGCCAGGTGGCGATGCGCTGGGAGGCCTTCACTTCCCGTCGGTCCCAGCGCCCCGGGGGGACGCTCTGGCTCCTGTCCTCTATCGCTAGGGCTCGCGG